AGTTTGCAAATCTCTGGTATGAGATGGTCTTCAATTAGAAGAATTCTCAATCAGATATTGAGACACGAGAGCTCGCATTACCTTACGAAAACAGAATGATATTCATTAAGTAACACGAGAAGAGCAAGATTTGTTTTCATGCTTATGCAAATTTATTTCGATAGACGTGTACGGCAAAACTATTTACTGAATCGGTGGCTATCGGGTTTCTCATCTTTTATTTCCATCAATTGAAAGGAAACAAACATGGCTTTATAAAAGCTATAGTTACAAATTACTTTACGAAATCGAATGCTAGATGAAACATAAGCGAAAGAAAGTTGCATATGCAAAATTGTTTCGATAGTTAACCGACGGTGAGATCTACAAAATCTGCGGCTATTTTTACCTACATATAATCCATTTCTTAGCGTTTTTCACTTGATAGTGCGATTTCATTTCGGTCAATACGTAGAAGAAACAATGTAGGAACATGAAAAAAAAAGACTTTGCTTCTCAATTCTAATTTTTTTTTTCTGTCGAGAATGTTCAGTTTGCATGGTATGATTGACAGATTGCTTCCTCTGCTTATATTTTATGCAAATTTTCAAATGCATTGCGAGCTCTCCAGAGTGAGACTCACTCTCGGCTCGCTTTACTTGCCAGTGGATAGCTTAATTGCAGGCTAGTAATTTAATTTTACTTCGTTTTCTATTGGTGTCAGTCGAATATAATATTAGTATGAAACGTCAGTGTTCCGCAAGAACAATATTATTCGTATAGTTGTTTGCAACACTTTCTGTTATGTGCATGGCTTATCCCGCTGTTCTTTAGCCCTCCTGATCTGTTCAAGGTTTTTGTCCATCCGTTTCACTGAACGTTTTAAGCTATAGATTAATAGATTCTGTTCAACCGTTTAATGTTTTAAGCCATCATTTTTTTTTTTCTCGGCCATTTAACAGTTTACAGAATCCGTTTTTGGACTTTGCTCTACCGTTTAACGCTTTGGACTATCCGTTTAAATGGGTATGCAAACCATTTTAACACTCTTACTACCCATTTATTATCTGTTTACAAACCGTTTATTTTCAACCGTTTAACGAAAAAGCGTTAGTGTACGAAATCCTGTGCCCGGTCACAATTTTTAACCCACTAAGATTTACAATTGACCTGGAAGTTTTACTTAACAGAAAGTCCAATAGAGATAGAGTCACCATAATGGATTTCACGAACAATAATCAGATATCACTCAAACACAACAGAGTTGAATGTACAGGGAAGTGCATGAATCTTTCAAGTTCTTATTACTGTTATTTCATGCCAGTTTGTTTCCCAAATTCAAGCTATTTTGAGACATGAAATGAATTGATGAACTTGACATCATCATGTAAATGGTCAAGTTGACATGCTTGTCAATTTGTCCTTCAGCTGAAATATTACACAGGAATGCTGTTTTGTTAGTTTTTATCAACATACATAAAAATATCCATTCCCAGCTTGTTTCTTTTGGTTAGCTACTATGTGACAACCTACTTTGTGTAAATCAAATTGGTTTCTAGTGTGATTTATTGTTGCTGAGCCTACCAGTAGTTTACATTTGTACTTGAGTTATTACTGTTTTGCATTAATGATACATGAAAAAGGCACGGGTCATTCCACAGTATTTTGGACAAAAAATATCAAAAATCAAAATTGTTTGCTTCACTCAATTTCTTGACAAATTGAAAATATACTAAGTTATAATATGTGAAAACAAAAAACTTTGTTTGTTGTCAGTTGTCGTGTATGCAGAAATTATCATAAATTACCATATAAAGTGAAAATAGCTGTTGCGGAGGGGAAAGTTAAATCGGTTGCTGATAACAAACTATTAACAAGAATTTTGCTGAGCTGGTATGGGACAAAAACTACTCAATGCAAAGTTACTTTAGTATTGACCAACATTGATATTTTACGTATGATGCACGATCCTTCGCAGTAGATAGCGCTATTCATGCAATAGCGCTATCTACTGCGAAGGATCGTGCATCATACGTA